ATGGACTCAGGCTCTGCCAGACGAAGGACGTAGAAGAGCTGCTTGAGAGCGAGGGAGTCGGCTCTAAAGCTAACAAAGCGAACCTTCAGAGGACAGTAGCGGAGAAGCAGGAAGGCCTGAGCCACCAGCTCGTAGTTTCGGCCTGTCACGAATCCATTCAGAAGGACGTCGATTGATGTTTGAAACGCAGATGGGCTCACGTCACTCGCCTGCATGGCCACCATGGTCTCATAGCACATTTGGGTCAGGAGCTGGGTGCGAGCCCACCGACCCATGGTGGACTTGCATGGACAGGCTTGGTGCTCAGTGTCTTTGAGGGCAGTTAGGTCCACCACATGCAAACTCTTTGCATATGTTCTTGGAGGAGACAGCACATAGTCCTGTAAGGGAATATAATCACAAAGTTATACAAGCAAAAGCATAATTCATCACAAACATCCAAACAATGTAGGGTTTACCTTTAGGCCGGTCAGAACTGCTTGTAGGCAGGTCTGGCAGGTGCAGGAGGTGAGGTCCAGCTCACAGTCAGAGGACCTCCCCAGGAGTCTCTGCATGTTGAGCTCTGGCAGAGGCCACGTCTGGACCAAAGCATGGAGCACCTTGGCCTGCTCATGGAGGTAGCAGGCCTTGAAGAGAAGCGGATAGAGGTTGAAAGACACGCAGCTTAGGTTCCCTAAAGCCGCAGAACCTGTCTGGATGAAGCCCTCAGCTGCAAGGAAGCGCAGGGACTTCATGTTCTCCAAGTGTAGGAGGCGGAAAGTAGAAGAAGAGCGATTTTCCTGATTTCACTGGGTTTTTACTGTGGGACTCATCCAGAATGGGCTTGCTGTGGTTCAGCAGCAGCAATGTGTGGGTTATGGGGGTCTTGTGATAGGTAAGAGCATTGGGGCTATTAATAGAAACAGCTGTCTCATGTCCTTCATCAGGGCACACTGTCTGACTTTCAACAGAGATAAATGGAAACAACATTCAAATGTTGCTGGGAAAATTTCCACTAATACAATTGTTAATTATTTGCCATTGTTTGGTGAATGAAAAATATTTAACATAATCAGTACAATTTCACTTTGGCCCCACTCAGAAACGTGAGTGCTTGAGTTTTTCTTGTCAACTTTGTAGTTAATGTTATGTTCATAATTCAGTGTATTGAACTAACTCTTCATTATATTGTCTTTTAGCTTGTTTCAAGTTCACACTTCTTTTGTACAAAGTGGAGTGTGAAATTATAAAATCTTTATTTTTAACTTCATCTGTTAAATTTATCTCACCATTGTTATATTCTTTCCTTTTACTTTTTGATTCTTCTGTGTTCTCACTCTGAAAAATAAGTGCACAATATAAAATAATGTCACCAAAGAGGAAATATACACGATGAAGCAAGAAATAATCTCTGACCTAAATTTAAACCATAAACTATTTGAATGATTACATATTCATGACATGATGCAAAAGACTGCCTTGAAAAGAAATGTTATGATGCTGGAAGAAATAATTCAATACAGCGACACCAAAAGATATTTGCATTTTTTAAAATTTATACAGCACTACCTACATTGCTTTTTTGTGGTTTTATTAGAAAAACTTTTTTTTAAAAATGAAATAAATTATCCTGATAGTGGTAAGGGATTTCAGGGATACCCAGGTCACATTATTTTACTGAAATTGTGCAGTTTTTTATCTGCACTGTATTGTTAATAGAGGCTAATGTTTCTGGAATTAAAATATCAGAATCCAGGAGGCATTTTTGAATAAATGTAGAGCATCCACTCGCTCCTTTTAATAGAGAAGCAGCAGCTCTACTCTTCAGATAGCAGGCATCATACCATCTGCACAGAAATAAAAAAAAAACATGTTATCTTATCAGTTTGTTTTATGTTCTATAAAAATATAAAGAAACACTGGCACTTTCAAGAAGTATTTTTAATTGTCAAATACAAAAGTATTAATCCAATGTTTCAGCTGTGTAAACAGGTTCCTTAAAATGTAGTTACAAATGGTTCGTCTTAAAATCAGATTGCAACTTGCCTTTAAACTGAAATAAGTTTGTTTTCTCTATAATACATATATACATTCAACTGCTTCAAAGAATCAGCACAAGTCCATATATGAGAAAATCCTATTAACTGGCGATGCTGGCAGACTCTTTAGCAGCCAGCGTAGATGCAGGTCCTATGTGCGTCCAGATGAAGCCTTTTTCGGGACATAGAGGGATTGTGGGAAACGGAGAGCTGCGTGACTTGAAATATTCAGAGGGGGCGTGACACACAAACTCCAAATAGTCCATCTTCCTGGGCAGATCCTCCTCTGGTCCTAATAAAAAGCACAGAACTTAAAACCATGTCAAACAAATCAGAGTAAAATGAGTTAACAGATTGCTTACCGATAATGTATGTCCCTGGATCAAAGTGGTCACTTGGACTGGCCTGAGTGGGGATTAGCCATGTCAGAGCCGCACTCTTCTCACAGTACTGGTCCTGCACAAATCCTCTGATCTGAGCGTAGTACGGCTTCCCATCGTCTTCATCTATGACCCTGATCACATCACCTATCTGGTAATAAACACCCTGTGAACACGAACAAAGTTTCTGGGTTTTAATATGATCCCTTTTAAGTATAAATACTGAAAAAAACAGTGACCACACCATACCTTGTAGAATAAAGATTCTGATGTGATGATTGTCGACACTGATTCTGGAGCTTTGATTGGCTGTAAAGGAGAATAGTCAAGTGTCAAGTACTTGACACTTGAAAATATAAAAATATTGTAAAAATATAAAAATAAAAGGAGCAGTGTACATTTTTGAGTTTGAAAATGTGTCTCCTTCCTTTGCCTTTTGTTGAAACCTTTTTCTCAGAGGCAGGAGCTTTGTACTTGGTGCTTCTCAGACGTGCGGACCTCCTGTGGATTTCCTGCTTGGACTAGAAAAAAAACCAAGAAATTTCAAATATGGAATCTTACTCTCAAAACAGTTGTACTTACCTGACATTGTTTAATTTATAAAACATTAGGGAATCATTCTTTCTTCCAATGGATAAAAAAAACGAACAAACTCTGAAATGTTCCAGGTTCCATTGGTATTACAACGAAACCTGTTGTGGTTTTTGTTTTGGCTAAATGTATTTTATTTTTTCTTTTATATATGACATGAGGTGATACAACACCACTGTCACATTGAGAGTGGCATTCTGTAACCATACATATTCACTTGCAAGCTATTATTCCCATAAAACTTCCCCTAACCCTTAATATTAAAATAAATAAATTACGTAAAATAAATTACGTAAAATATGAGACCATAAGTTGTATCCTAAATAATACGTTTCACATTTACTTTTGTTGAGTGACAAAGCATATATTGTTTACTTCTCTCCATAATCTTATTACAGTGAAAATAAAACGGAAGCCAAAGCGATCTCTGCTCTTCATGTGCTTAACTGCCGCCAGGGGGTGCTATTGGGCGGTTTTGTTGATGCACCACACGAGTCTAATAATATCCATCTGCCGTCATCTCTCTGGTTTCAAAAAGACATGAGAAAATAGACTATAAATACATAAACGTACCACAATTATTTAGGCCGCGCTCAAAGCATCTCTTCGGTGTGACTGACCTGTTTTCCGCCGCCGTTGCTGGGCTGTGTGCTGGCGGAGACGGAGGGTCCAGCAGCTCCGCCGCCGCTGCAGGTCTTTCCGGTGCAGTTATTGCACAGTATTTCACCCTGGGTTCCTTTCTTCCACATTGAGGAAGAGTTCGTCTTACAGACGGAGCAGCACGGTTTCAAACCCAGAGGCATTTTTTTTTACCGCTCACACTGAACAGTGTTCAACAAAAAAAAAAAAAGAGAGATGGAGCTCCTCGATCTGGTGCCCGACAACGGTTTACTATCAAAAGCCTCACCTGTGTAGCTGCCGCAAATCACAGTTCAAATAAAACAATTCAAATAAAAGACGTATAACATCTTAAAATAACCAACGAACAAACCAATTCGGTCTGTTTATGTGTGTCGCTATTATCCTTAGCAGCGGTCCTGCTCTTGTTCTGCGCTTCTTCCTCTGATGTTAAAAATGAAGTTGGGTACAGCGCCACCAACAGGACTGAGACCATGCATCAGTCTTAATTTAATACGCAAAAATAACAACAAAAAATATAAATAAATTTTTTAAAAATCCATCCATCCATTTTCCGGTCACCCTTCTCCCTAACGGGGTCGGGAGATGCTGGTGCCTATCTCCAGCTGCGTTCCGGGCGAGAGGCGGGGTTCACCCTGGACAGGTCGCCAGTCTGTCGCAGAAATTTAAAAAATAAATAAATAAAAGTTTTAGTATTTTTCATAAAACATGAAAAACCCAACTATCTCTTTCTCTTAAAAAATTCATTGGACACAATAAATAATGATAAAAATTATTATCCAGCAAACAGTAACTTGAGTCCAAACAACTTTCTGTGGGTAAAACAGAATACAATAAAGCAGGGCTGGTCCAGTATTGTTCGAGGGCTTAACCAGAAATTCATTTGGTCCCCTCTTCCTGATAAGAACATTCCTTGTACTAACAACATTTTTATAATAATAATAATAATAATAATAACAATAAATTTCGTCTGCATAGTGTTTTTCTAAGTACTCAAAATTGCTTTTCAACAGGTTTGTTGGAATCTGGGAGAGGGGGCCATCAAGTTTAACTTTTTGACTTTAAACTCAGTCGTGCGTGCTGTGGTGGTGCAGGGGGTGGAACACGCCCCACGTTTTAGATATTAGTTCCTCATTACAGTAAAAAAAGTAAAATAAACTAAAATTATAAGATTATCAAAAACTAGAAACAGATTACCGACGTCGTCTGAAATACTTTTTCAGTCTGAGAAAAACATTTTAACTAGTATGTAGTTGTAAAATATTTTTTTCTGCTCCGAACAACAGGAGGAATTTTGATTTACACGTCATATTCAATTGTAATTGGAACCTTCCAGTAGGTGGCGCTAATCCCGGGTAAAGACCGTCAAATGAGAGGAAGAAGACGAAGAAGAAACGAAATGCGTCACGATTCAAAACAGTACTGGAAGTTAACAGCAGAGTGTGTTTGATCCACTTTTAAGAATGTCTCAAACCAATTCAGGAAAAGACAGCCAAGCGTCAGAAGCAAAAAAGGCGATCTCACTACCGATCTCCAGAGTGCGGTTGATCATGAAGAGTTCCCCGGATGTCTCCAGCATCAACCAGGACGCTCTCTTCCTCACCACCAAGGCTACTGTAAGCTGTTGTTACGAGCTAAACTGGAGGTCTTACTAGCAGAGCTGGAATATCAGCGGTTTGTTGGATCGAAGATGTTTGCTTTAGAGTTTTAACTGGAGATTTGTAATTGATTAACCTTGTTGTTGTTGATGATTATAAAGGAGCTGTTTGTGCAGCATCTGGCGCTGACCTCCTTTAACAACCGCTCCCAGACGGACACCAACACCCTGGACTACAGCGACCTGGCTAAAACCGCAGAGGAGAGCGACACTTTCCACTTCCTCACAGGTGAGGAACCTGACTCACCTGAAACTATCAACCTTCAGCTGCTCATAATTGGTGTGTGAATGAGCTTGAAGGATGTTACTGATACTTCAAGGAAAACTGCAGACATAAAATGCGTTTATGGCTTTGTGAAATATTCTACCTTTGGTTCATCACAAGGCATTAAAAATTACATTAATAAAAATATGGATTATTTACATAATCTACATTTAAAGGGTTAAATGGCTGTGTTTGCACATTAGCACTTTTTCTGGTCCTATTACTGAAATATATGAAGTAACATGGACAAACAGTGAATTTATGTCGTGTAACTTTTTTCCCCCTCTCTTTCTCTCTTGTTTTTTACTTAACAGATATTTTGCCAAAAAAAATTCTTGCTCAAGATTATCTGAAGTCTTTGGAACAAATGCAAGATGAAGACAGTGATTTCTGATAAGGAGAGAACTTCTTTTCCAATGTGGACATTTTATCACATGTACTCTGCTGTCATTGAGAGGAAAACTGAGACGGCACATGGACTTAATTACTTTTCAGCTCACTCATGTGGTTCATGTAGAGATTTTAGAAATAAAAAAAGGTGTGAGAATGGGAAACTTGAGTACACCAAAAATATTAAATGATGTCCCTCGGATCAACTTTAACTCACGCAGTCCCAGAAATAACTGCAACCAAATAAAATGTTTTAACACTGCTCCAAAGATAAAGGCTAACAATTTTTTAATCCCCCCTCCCAACACCTAATGTTAGGCAAAGGTTTCTACAAATCTTATCCCAAATTGCTATTAAAACCTTAAACTCCAAGGTGGCTTATTGGGATTTTATGCTAGACCAGCTGAAAGAGGTAGATAATTGTGAAGGGCAAAGATGACATGTGTTTTTCAAAGGGTTTTTGCAAAATGTAATTTGAAAAGTGTGACATTTGTTTGTATTCTGCCAACCTCCCCATGTAAATACTTTATAAAACAAACACTGACTGCATTTACAGCTGCAGGTAAGACTATCAGCTTTACCTTTTGTAGATGATGCTGAAACCTTTGCCCATGTTTCTTCATAAACAGCTCAAGCTCAGTCAGATTGGATTCAGCGTATCTTTGAACATCAATGCATTTTAAGCAGCCTCCAGCTGGTTTTCTTCAGGGCTTGCCCTGTAATTAGCGTCCGTCCGTCTTCCCATCAACGCAAACCAGCTTTTCTGTGTCCACTGAAGAAGAGCATCCCCTCGGCACGATGCTGGCACCCAACGGTGCCAGCATCGTTTCCATTCATCCATTTTCTTACACCCTTGTCCTGAGTGGGGTTGGGAGATGCTGGTGCCTATCTCCAGCTAACGTTCCGGGCGAGAGGCGGGGTACACCCTGAATAGGTTGCCAGTCTGTCGCAGGGCATTGTAGTTTTCTTCAAATGTATTGTTTTTACAAAATATGATGCACTAGAACTGCAAATTTTGGCTAATTATTAAAGTACAATGCACTCAGACTCCAGTGATACATTTTCCCAAGCATCTTTTTAATGCATCATTAAAAGCTTTAGAGGGCAAAAATAGAAATGCAACTTTTTAAATAACTGAGGAAAGAAAAATAAATGTATTCTCCCCACCCCCTGTCAACTAAATGAAGTTCTCATTATCGAGAATCTATATTTGCTATGAACCTAAAGCAGAAAAGACATTGATACTTTCTACCCTTTTTGAAAGTACTGATTTTATATTAGTTTATGCAATCTGGGCATGCTGTTCCAATGTTAGCTCATGTCTCATATTGTACTATTATGCATGGTGATGTGTTCAGGGTCTCCCCATACATAAGGCATTTGGCATATGTGTCAAAAAGTAACATTTTGGTCTCAACTGACCAGAGCAATGTCATATTCCACACCTGGTGATTGTTACACCATGTATGGATTAAGTAAACACAACTTTTTATTTTTTCCTTTCAGTGCTAGTGTGATGAAAGCTGTCCCATGTCAGCTGTGAATCTCATTCGGGTTAGCTGCTCTTAGTAGCTGTAATTAGTAAAGGCGACTAAATACAAATGTATGACACACTTTTCCAAAATCTAAATTACGCACCAATTTATGTCGGTCTGTCTGCCTCATGCAATCCAAATAAAATACTTTGAAGTTTGGGTTTTGTAATCTGAAAAACTGTGAAAAAGGTCCAAGAGGTGTGAAAACTTTCACAGCACTGTGGAGTGTCAAAGAGTTTTGCAGGTTTAGAGTCTTAAATTTGTTTAATTTTTGCACAGGTTGAAGGTGCTTAACGTTTTTCTGGCCACTTCCAGTCATGTACAGATTAACTGCATATGAAGGACGGGTAACTTCCTTCATATGCGTTTATGAAGGAAGTTCATAAACGCATATGAACTTCCTTCATATCCAGAAGGAAGTTCTGCATATGAAGAACTTCATATGCAGATTCTGCATATGAAACCGGATTTGTAACTTAAATCCGGTTCTGCTTCACACATCTGATTACTGATACTGGGTGTTTCCAGTATCTTTGAAATGTATCAAATGTACCTCTATTTGTCAGCAACAACTTTGAACATCTGTTAGTTTAAATAATTCAATATTTCTGAATGTTTACACATCATAATGCTTACTTTTTATTTAGTAATGGATTTATTGTTTAGATTTTAGATTAAAATACATGTCAATGCTGTACTGGGTAACCTTTATGTCATTATAAACACACAAAAAACATAATCTCTCAAGTTTGACAACCTCAGTATATTAGAGTTTTACAAGGTGTTTTATACGACTGTAAAATGTCTATATGGATCATTCGGAGTCGTAAACTGGGACGGCCACATGTGTTCAGTTTATGGGTTTGTACTTTTTTCTGTTCTTTTACTAACGATTTAGATTTCCTTTGTAGACATCGGAATTTATTGTGCATGCACAATTTAAACTCTTGTACCAGATGCTCTTTGAGGAGGCTTTGATTGTTGTCATTGTTGAATGAGTTTGCTGAGTCGAAGGTGTGTGTTGAGCAGAGTCTTCTCTAAAGTAGAAAAGCGGCTCTCCAGGTTGTTTGCCAGGAGCTCTTTATCTTCCATGGCCTCCCTTGTGTTGGTAAGACGCTCCCTTATGCTGTCAGGAGGGGAAAGAAAGAAAATGTAAAAATTAGACTTCTGTATTCCTAAGTTCATACATAATCAAGAAAATTTCTCTTTTCTCCATTCTCTGTTTTTATGGGTGGTTTTTAGCCAGAGCTTCATTTTATTCAGTTTGCCTGGAAATGCAATGAAGTGACTCAAATTTTCCTTGTAAGATGTGAAAACCTTGTTAATTAAGCTCGAGCCTTCACATCTGGTTGTGGACCTGCTTCTGGGTCTGCGGCCTATTTGAATTAGTAAATGTTTCCTTAATAATGCTGTAGTCTCAGTCATCGGACGAAGAAAGCTCAACCTGTTTCAATTGTTAGATTTCAGCGAGCAGGAGATAAAGACAGATGCAGACAGATGAAAACACATTACAAATTCCCCAGCATCACTCATTCAGCAAAAATAAAGCTGGAAAATGTAATTTAAATATGGAAAAACTAAGCGTGCACTTATTGATCTGGATTGAACAGAAGCATGCTACTAATATACTAATAATATATTGCATGTTTTGGTAATTCGAAGTTTATACCTAAGCCTAACTAAAACGCTTCAGCTTGGAGTTCAGAGCTGCATAAATTAACTTAAGTTAAATTGAGTGGACTATAGGAATGACATGATGAAGACTGGTGTGCGTTATCGCCATAGCCTATGGACAACGTGGACAGCCTGTCTTGATGTTTCCCTATTCTTATTTATCTTATTTAGTTAAAAATGTTATAAAAATTAAGCATCTGCAAAACATGCATTTGTGTCTTTGCACCAGGAGATTGTCCAACATTTTGACACTTCCTGGTCCAGAACCGCTCTGCAATCTGGGAGATGTATGCAGGGGAAAAGCTTTAGTTGCTCAACCACGAGGTGAGAAGCATCAACTAACTCGCTCACTCTCTAGTTACCAAGCAACAAGTTGTTGAGTAACGAGTGGCAGTTTAAAATTTTGCCACCGTGCCTCACAATGGTTAAAAATAAAGAACAATGTGCTGGAGTGAAAACTGGGTAAAGCAGGAAAGGTAATAGCACCACTTTGGCAGTATATTAGAGATTTGAAACAAAAAAAACAAGACAATAATTATTGATAAAAACTGATATGAAACTCTTGTATGGTGTTACATGTTTCAGCCATGTTGCCCAACCCTAAGTATAGTTTTGATCTTGTTTTACTTATAGAATATCCACAGTACATTCAAATATCTGCACCAAACTTAAAAAACGAAACAAACATTAAAAGTTGTAATTCTCACAATCAGAATACTTTCTGGTTCTCACCTAGTAAGAATACCCTGCTCCTTCCCCTCTTTCCTTTTCTCCACCAGTGAGACAAACACGTTCTCCATGGTTTGCATTATCTCTGTCACCTTCTGGTGGTCTGACTGGATGCCCTGGACCTCCTCTCTGGCTTGGTGGTTGTAGGAAATCCCTGCTTCCTCCACCCCACTCAGGTCAGACACCGCCTGCAGCGCGGCCCTGTTCTGCAGAACAAGCAGACGGGACCTGGCAAACTCCTCCGGTTCTGCTACAGTTTCCCAGCAGACTGGAGAGGAAGGTGGCAACCAGAAGCGCTGCGTGCAATTGACTGGTTCTTCTGGGGATTCCTTAACAAAGGAACTGTCAGCAGGGAAGTTGTTGAAGAGATGCAGCAGAGAAGATCCAGAACCCATTTCCCAATCCTCGAAGTCAGGTACTCCCGATACTTGTTCCAGTACCACTTCTGATCCTCTGCTTGCATCCTCTGGTTGGGAGCAGACGCCCAGCAGGAGGCAGCAGGAGAAGCAGAGCCAGGCCCTGCTGGCTGTCCACCAGAGCATCTCCAAACTGGATGGAAAAACAAATTCAGCCGTTTCATTTCTGTGGGAATCTTTTAATATTTATTGCATTGTTTATGATTTTGAAGAAAGTCTGAATTTTATGCAGAATTGTTTCCCTTTGCTTGACATGAAGATTAGTTAGAATGTATTGGCAAGTTGTTTCCACAAAATAAAAACATATTAGCAACAGGAATATAAATACACAGAAAACAACCAACTAATAATTTACTTCAATATTTTAATATGAAACATGAATATAATATATAGAGATTGATATATTTTGGGTTATTTTTTGAAACATTTGTTTTCTCTGAAAATTTTAATATGATATAATGATGATAATTTTGGTATGATTAATACCATTTACTAAGAAATTGAATAGGAAAGGGAGAAAAAAGACTTGACCGTTTTTCACATTTCATTGAAAATAAAAGTCAGAGTCTGGAGGAAGAGTGGAAAGGCAGAGAACCATTATTGCTAGAAGTCCAGTGTAATGTTTTCGCAGTCAGTGATGATTTTAGGGGTCATGTCACCTGTTGATGTTGGCTCACTGTGATTCATCAAGTCCAAAGCCAGAATCGTCCTTTTTAAGGAGGAAAGAAAAAGACCCGGGTGTGGCTGGTGAGGTGGAACTCAGTTGTTCTAAAATGTGGCTAATCAGTAATTCATGAGTTCACATTTTTGGTTGGTTTGTATCATTGAAAGGCGATTCTTAATCTGGTTATCTTTGGCTGGTATTAAAGTTTGGTTGTAGAGCTGAAGCATTTAGTTGCATCAGAAAAGCAAAAACAGAAAAGCAATTTAAATTTTAACTGCACTGTGCCTGCACATGCTTTTCAGTTCACATTTTCACATCTAAAATCAATTTTTTACTGATCTTGCATATCAACAGAAAATGTTATGAGTTTCATTAGCTATTAAACATTTTGTTACTTAATCGATTTACTAGAATAAAAATCAATAAACCGATTTATTGAGACACACCTGTAATACATCTACAAAAACTCTTTAGCAACTGCTCTCATGTTTTATTACTATGTAGTTGTGTCAAAATTGTTTTTCTTTAGTAGCTTAGTGGTAGCCAGAAAAAGGGTAGAGAAACAGCAGAAGAAAAAAAAACCCTCTCCACTTCAAACAACTCAAGCAAATAAAAACATATTTCAACTACGACAAGAAGAGCTAGCATTTGTATTGATCTTAAAAGCTCTTACCTTGTAGGAAACAGCAGTGTGAGTGTGTTTGCAGCGGCGCTCCCTTGGAGCCTGAAGCTGTTGGAAAAAATGAGTCGACTTCAGCCTCTGCTATACAGTCAGAAAGGGTTTCCATTGGCTCCATTACAGCAGTCTAGAGCCAAACGCAGCGGAGGAAATGATGAAAAACTTACCTCAAATTAGAGGCTGCGTAATTTCATGTTTACAGCTACAAAAAGCCTGTCTGGAGAAAATGTGTGACAAGTCTTTTTTCTGATACTGACACTGCTAATTGTTCATTTGTGTCTCTTATTTCTTTCGACATAAATTAGATCTTGTATAGAAGGCTAATCTTTGTTTTAGTCTTTGTCTTTTCTCTCTTTCTGACTGTTTTTCTTTGGGAATGAGGGGGATAGAGGTAGTGATGCTCCTGGTATTTATTAGCCCTTTTTATACGTCCTGAACAGGAACAGTTTGGCCCAGTTTCAGAGGACGAGGAATCTGTTCACACCTACAGTTTTAGAAGGAAGTCAAACATTTTAAGGCTGTAAAAACAATAAAAATGTCGAGAAAAAGCTGAAAGATACGTTTACTTGAGCAGGGAATGATGTTGTCCAGTATTTACACTCTGACATAAGCAACGAGGAATGAGATACATTTTGGCAAAAACAACTAAGATTGTTGGAAACGTTTCAGGGTAACATAACAGGAAGGAGAAAACACTATCTTAGGTTGAACAGGAGCAGCTTTAGGTACGGCTCATCTACTTTAATATGTCAAACCTGATATGCACTGAATCATACAGCTTTTGTAGTTCTCCTGTAGCTGAAAAAGAAACTTTGTCAGTTGAAAAATATAACTGTACTGGGTCTTAAGCAGACAAGGATGTCGAAGCATTTCATTTCTGGCTCTCTGTCTCTGCGTGGCAGAAGAACAGCATAGCTCCAAGCCCAAACTAAACAACCACCTTAATAGTGTTTTTGCAAGTCAATCCAAATGTACCCTTTCTATTGAGCTTTTGGAAATGCAATGTATGTCTAAACATGTCGAAACAAAAACAGTTCTTGACAACCACAAATGTTCACCGGGTACCAGATGTACTCGGTCTGGTAAAACAATCGGTGAAGCACAGTCTTCAGTTCTTCTTCTTTGGATTTTGTCACAGACCTGCACAATCCTTCTCCTTCTCCAGCGGAAGGAAAAGGATTTATGGTTGTCAAAACAAAACAAAAAATCTTAAAAGTGTGGCGTGCTTCTACAGGCTTTATTTTACTGTAAATACACACTGTGAGCTTTTACAGCATGACGCTGCCACCGTCACATTTTACCTTTTGAAGATGTGTTCAGGGTTATGTGTTTTGCTACTTTTCCTCCAGAGATTGACTGTGTGTCTATTCTGACCAAAGCACCTTTTTCCCACCTGTTTGCTGAGTCCCCTATATGGCTTTTAGCAAACTATAAATCAAACTTCTTATGGCTTTCTTCTTTGTTATTACTCCAAAAAGGTACAGATGTGTAAAGTATGTTCCTAATAGTTGTCCTAGTTGTCAGACTCTTTCACCTCAGATCTAGATATTTGCTCTATAGGGGTTATCATGTATCTCTCCACATCTTTTTTGTTTTTCTCATTGGCCTTTATTTACTTATTCATTCATTTCTGAAGGCAAGGGATGTTTGTTTGTGAGGCACCACTCATTTGTAGGGTAAAAGAAAAGGTACTAACAGCAAAAACAAATGAACAGGTAAATTAAAAACTGCAGAGGGGCTTCAGTGGTGCAGAATAAGCACTTCGATATGACTTGGCTCAGTTATATGCTCTTTTGCTCTTCTGTCTCTAACATTCTCTACATGAATGTTAAAATTACCGTCTCACGGATGAAAATTTAGAAAATTCACCCACAAAGTCATCATATGTACTGTCAGAGTGAAGGAAGCTGTATGGGAATGAAAAGAAAAAAAACTTTTAAAACACGAGTCAGTTTCCTACAACTTCACATTCAGTCATTCCTCTCTGTGTTATATCATATAACTCAATAAAATACTTTAAATTGGCGGTCGTAATGTAATCAAAAGCGGAAAAGTTCAACAAGTCACAACACTTTTTTGTTTTAAAGTACTGTAAAAGGAGTACTTTAAAACAGGTATAAATACTTGAGGTCATTTGGTATAAAATTTAAAGTAAAGCCTCTTTTCTTTTCGGTTTATATGATCAAATATTGCTCATTCAACCATCTGGACTGTTTTATTGCTCCCATTTCTGGCCGAGCTCGGCTCATCGAGTGTAAGATCAGATCCAAGAGAAAACAGTAGAGCTGCCCTCGGCTCTCTGCACCCGAATCCTCACTGCTTTTTGTATCAGACGACATGTCCTGGTGGTTTATGGGACATTTAGTGACTGGAGTAACTCTCTGAGGTGTTGCTGGTCTGGGAAACCTGGGCAGCTCATCACATCCTCTGGTTCCACTCCATCAATCGCTCCACAAGCAAAGCCAAAAGTACTACTGCTAGTGGTTTTGCTGCGAGCTGCAAGAAGGTGTGAAACAAGCTGAGAACATGGATAAAAACTAAACTTTCATCTGTGGTTGTAAAGTTTTTCTGTATTCTGATCAACTGAACAGTTACAATCAAGCAGCCTGCTGTAAGACATCCATTGGACGTAGTAAACAAAGCAGAAAGTACTGCGGTCAAAAAGGACCAAAAATCACAACACACTGCATGTAAGGGAGAAAATCATTATGACAACAGGAATAGGTTTCTTCATTAGGGAGTGATCAGAGCTGATGGGAAGACAGAAGGAGCTAAAGAAAGAAAAAAAACATCTTGGAACCTGTTGGAGGTTGCATTAGATCTATCCAAACTGACTGAGCTTGTATTATTTTGTAAAGAATGTGGGAAAATTCAACCTCTGGATGCTGGTAAAGAAACAGACACACGGCGGTGATTGCAACAAAAATAATGCACATCACACTTCTCTGCTTCTCTCATTATTCTTTGTAAAAGAAACAGAAAACTAAGGTCTGATCTGCAGTACATGTCTAATAGTTGTACTTTGTCCCACCTGAGCTCTGCTATTGCCATACTAATTGAGTGATTTTCTAATTCTATGAGTGGCAGTGGGTTTTATTTGGGGGCATCTGGGGGTTCATTGAGAATCACACTGACTCAATGAAATACATTCATCTTTGTTGAAACAGCCTGACGAGTTTTCCAACGCGCTGTAAAGGAATCGGTGGTCCAACAGGGACCACTAGCGGTGACAACGGGAAACTGCTTCACTTGAAACGTTCAAGTCTTTGACTCAGTAATGAAACTTTGTCTTCAGGATCGGAGTGATATCAGGGCATTCACGGCTCGTATTGATGTTTGTTTTCGCTCAAAATTAGTCAAGCATTCGTGGAAACTTTAACACTCATGTTTCGGGGCCCACATTCCGGCGCTGTGACCCAACAACAGCTGAGAGAGGGGAGGGGAGGGGTTCACCGCGCAGCTCCTCCTCCTCTTCCTCCTCCTCCAGCCGGCTGACGTCACCACGGCTGCAAGACCGGAGCAGCTCGGCACCAAGAGCCACAGCAGCTGGGCTGCGATCCCCGCCGCCTCCTCCTCTCCGTGCCGTGGGAAGACTCGCTGCAGCAGCCAGGAGCTTCCCGTCATTCGTCACGGCGACAGACATGGCCTCCGACGGCATGGACGAGCGCTCTCCGCTGCTGTCGGGCCCCAACTCCGAGAACGTGACCCCCACGGCTCCCCCGTACCTGCAGGATTCAAGTCCCCGAGGTAAACACGGTCTGCGGATCCCCCAACCCCCACCCGGCCCTCCACACTCTCCCCTCTGCTCCCCGCATTTCTGCCTGCATGCGTGCTGAATCATTTTCAGGGCGTATCGGGTTTGTGCGTAAATAAATCGGAGCCAGGCGCAGCGAGGCAAGGGGCATCGGCTGGAAATCCGACGGCAGCTGACACAAAAGGTGGAGCTTGGACTGTGAGAACTGGAGAAGTGGGTGAGAGAACGAGAGGGGCCTGCAGTAACACCGAGCGGGGCTTTTTCAGAGCAGAAATGCTTGCATCACGACTCCCCGAGCGTCGCGGGGTGTTTTCAGGGTGACAGCAGTGGTCAAAAAGGAAGAAAACGTGAGGATCCAGCTTTGAATGCTGTGCGTTTAGGGGGAGAGAGTTGGGGCACTGCAGATGAAACCAGGCCAGCAGCCTTTTGTCCCAGATGTGTCCTTTAAAAATGAGAAGAAATGAATGAGTCACAATCTTGAGGAAAAGCAAATGTTTTGTTTTGTTTTTGTGCTTGTCTGCACGAAAAGAAAACATGCAAATAGTAAGATAATCGGTTTCAGTATTCAACAGATAGTTTCAGTGCTCTGAGAGTTTGATGTATCATACATTGACCAAAGAGTGGAGTCAAACCATTTTTTTCCTAGTCAGCTCTGAACAGTTATCAGCAGATCAAATACTGAAAAGTCAGATTTTTTTTAAAACCCCCTTTTCATCATGTGCATCTAGACTTCAAAACACATTTTCTACAGATTGCTCTGGCATAGAGCCCTCTGTCCTCTCAGTCTAGAAATGATCACTAATCATTCATGATTACTAGATGGTTTGTGATTGCTACCAATCAGTCTGCCAATCTCCCCTCATTTGGCTCTGATAGGTGATCAGTTGAAGCACTTAAATGTCTTCAATAAATGCATCAAAAATAAGAAGCTCAGAAGCCATCAGCAGAGATGGTTTTCTCTCCTTTGTGGCAGGGATTGATCTTTAAATTGACATCAATCTAATCATTTTCAGAGATGAAGTTCTGTTAAATCAAAAATGTTCCTTGAAACTGGATGAATTCATGGTCGCTGGTGATCCACTAATTACATTTCTGCACAAAATGTCGCTGGAACAGAATGGATTTAATTCTAACTTGCTGGAAAATGATTGCATTTTGTGAGGGACGCCCAATATATCAGCATCAACGTTGCCGGTGTTAGTCATTTTTTAACGTTTCAGTATTGGTCTTGTATTTATTTTCATCTTGTTGCCATGTGTTTCAGAAGGGGGTATTTTTGTGTGTGCCATTTTTTTAAATGAAATCCAGGCAGCGTGTA